ACTTGTGGCCGAGTTGACTTGTGGCCGAGTTGACTTGTGGCCGAGTAGAACGTAGCCAAACTTTTTGTGGCCGAGTTGACTTGTGGCCGAGTTAACTTGTGGCCGAGTTGACTTGTGGCCGAGTTGACTTGTGGCCGAGTTGACTGTGGCCGAGTTGACTTGTGGCCGAGTTGGATCGAATTCTCTGAAGAAGATCTGTGTTGCTGGTGACGGTCAACTCTGCTTGGCTGTGGAGTATGGAACGCCGTTACTGCCTTTGGTGGCTCTTTTCAGTTCGGCGCATTTGCTATTCGGCCCTTTTAACATTACGTTCGGTGCTTTTACATTACGTTCGGTGCTTTATTACATTACATTCGGTGCTTTTTACATTACGTTCGGTGCTTTTACATTACGTTCGGTGATTTTACAATATGTTCGGTTCTTTTTACATTACATTCGGTACTTTTTACATTACGTTCGGTGCTTTTACATTACGTTCGGTGCTTTTTACATTACGTTCGGTGCTTTTTACATTACGTTCGGTGCTTTTACATTACGTTCGGTGCTTTTATTAACATTACTTTTTACATTACGTTCGGTGCTTTTACATTTCGTTCGGTGCTTTTTACATTATGTTTGGTGCTTTTTACATTACGTTCGGTGCTTTTATTAACATTACATTCGGTGCTTTTTAGTTTTACCTTTCGGCCCTTTCATCATTACGTACGGTTCTTTTATCATTCGGTGCTTTCATGACCTTTGACTTCGGGTCAAGTGGAAAAAAATCAACGGCTGTGGGAACGAGCCTAGTGGAACTTGTGCGCTCCTTCTCTCTTTCTTCTCTTTCATTTTTTTTCTTTTCTTTCAACATCTTAGTTTCATTACTCTTACGCTATATTATATTCATGTTTTGAAACATAGGTGGGCACGCATTCTTCATATAATATATATATATATATATACATATATATATATATATATATATAATTATATATATGTACATATATAAATAATAATAATAATAACAATAATAATAATAATAAATAATAATAATGCTGTAAAGGCAAATATACAACATGATAGGCCCTAAATAACAATTAAAATGGTATCAGATGCCCGCAAGACGGAAACAAATTGGCCGTAGATCGGGAGTTCTAAATGTGGAATTCTGGATCAATTTGCATTGAGTTGGAATTAAATTGCCAGTTTCAATGTATATGACAAAAACAAATGTACAAGAGAATATAAAAAGTTGTATATGAATTATATATAGGCCTATGAACAGAAAATATGAATAAAATTCAAAATCACTTATACTGTAAGAAGAATAGTTACCTGTTGAATATGGATTTAATTAGTAAAAACCCGGCCCTTACCGACTAGGCAATCTAAATTCGATTGTATGTCCTGGTCCCCGACACTTTTATGTTTATTTGGATAGGCCTATCTTCAATAAGACTTCTACGAATGGATACCTTGTTTGAAGCAAGAAACCAAGTTGTCTTTATCGAGTACCGCTCGTTTATTT